TTTGCTCCTCACATCGTCTCTCCTCCATACCCACAGATTCCCTCTCATCTCCACGGGCGCTTCCTCTTGGCCCTGCTGGCCGATGCACTTTCACGCCTGCCCTTCCCGAAGACACCTAAGGTCACTTAAAGGCGCATCCACACCCATATGGTTATCCTGTGAAAATCGTCGATGGGATGGATGGACCAATCGTAAGAGCAAAGACATTCATCTAGAGCCCAGAGGATATTCAGGAGTCAAGTTCAGTGGGTCAAGGCTGAGGAGAGAGTTTACAAATAATAGGTCTTTCTCCGTGGGTATAGAAAGAATCCCAAGGAGAAATCATTAACTGGTGTCAATATCGTACCCGCGTTCTCTTTGACGCGTAACACTTTTACGGGTTACGTTTTCGTGTTGCGCAATCGAGTTCGGGGTTGCGTCAGCGCGTTGGATAATCTTTTAATCTTTCCGGACAAATTGCCGAACCGTTAGAGCGACGTTCGTCTTTTCTAGGACAAATTTGCATACCGGCCTTCGACGTGGCGCTTACTGTATACCTGTGCGTATGGTGGTATTCAGAAAAAGAGGTGTTTTTAACGAAGCTCCACTTCTGAAGCGTCTCGCAGCGTCAACAGCTTCCTCATTTTCATCGAAGCCAATCGGACCAGGGAAGACGTGGTTGTAGTCAGAAATATCGTACACCGCCGTTCCGCGAGTCCTATTTCAGAAGAGGCCAGCATGTATTTGACCCGTTAGCGAGCCTGACTTGATTTGCTGAAGTGAAGCTGGAGAAGTGGACAGAGTCCAAGAAGGAGTGGCCAATGGCGATGAGGATCGGCCGGAGGCACGAGGGCAGCGGGGCAGCAGGACAAACGGGGCTCGGAAGCTCCATGAAGACGAAGCTGAAGCCGCATGCTGAGGATGCAAGGAAATCTTCTGCTGGAGGATGGTGGGCGATCGAGGGGGGAGGGAGGAAGGGGATGGATGGGGAACTTGGAGGGAGGGAGGTTTCGCACAGCACTGACTGGATCAGTGGAACTCCATGAGCCTCCGCTAATACCGCACGGCACGAGCCGTAAGACGTTACAAGTAGGCGAACGTAACTGTTTTATTAACCGTAAGTCAGGCGTCGTTCAGCCACTTACATAATCGAAAACACAGAGAGTGAAAATCGAGCGTTTCTACTTTCTTCATTCGCGAAGCTTATTCTCTCTCCCTTTTCATCTTACCACTCCCTTTGGTCTTGTTGGGTCCATAGTCTGGGGTACGAACATCCCCTGAGCTGTACTTTACTAGGATGGAGCTAGAATATTTTTAGTGAATATGGAAGGACTCGTGGTGGGGCTAGAGTTAAAATAAGAACGAGGTCCGGGTCGCGGAAGATAAGGATAATGTAAATCATCACTGACTCATTGGTAGAGCTTAGACCCTTGGGTTCCAGGATATTCTTGATGGTCCAGTTCATTTTTTTTTCAATCAATTTTTGGAGTTGTCATTATTATTATTTATTCGTTATTGTACCGATGCCCAGTTTTGGGAAGCGTCTTTGTATCTCCATGCTCGCTGACTAGTCTTGTGTCATTTATTACGGTTGAGGTTGATGACTTTATGAAGGATCAACCATTACCCTCATTACGTTCTTAAAGTAAGTCGGTGCTCTGATTTTCTTTGGATGAGCTCATTCTTAGGTCCACGTGGGTGCACGCGCTACGCTATCTGCGTTTTCTACCTAAACCGTCATAAATCTAAATTTGACCATCTTTCGACTAAAGCTCCAGAGTGCAGAGTGTGCGGATGCCTAGAGAATTCATGTTCTGGAGTTTAGTGGAAACTTGAACGCAAGCAGATTGCTCCCTATTTCATGTTCCAGGAAGAGTGGCTCTTGATCATAAATTATTAAACTGTTTCAGGTAATTCATGAATTCTCAACTGGGTCCCACAAGGAAAACAAGTATGATTGTTACCAAAGGACTTCATCCGCAAGGAACGAAGGCGTTCATAAAGAAAAACAAGGTTCGTACGTCCAAAATAGGTGAGTGGAAGAATTCGAGCGTGACATAGGTCCTCGCATTCCGACGACTCTTCGTGATTCTTTTTTTAATTCTCAGCCCGGCTCGAGGAGTAGCAATGGTGGGGAAGCGATATTCGCGAATGAGCTGAGCCATCGAAGAACGAATGGATGGACAAACTGATAGACGGATGGACGGGCGTATGCTCGTACGTTCTGGGGGAAGGAGTGAAAGAGGGAATAGTCGCACTGTGCCCGGACAACGATCCCGCGGTGCTTGGGCCAACTAACGGTCCTCACCACCACCATTCTTCTTTCCCTCCTTCGCCGTCTTCTCTTTCTCCAGGAGAACTTCGCCACAAGATCACTCGGCCACGTAGACATGCCTAATGTGCTTGCCAGAAGCGCGCGCACACACTACCATGGTCTCTCTTGGTACTGCGTATAGACCACGTTCAGTCCCACTTGATCACGCTCGATCAGACCCACTCATACTTCCTTGCTATGAGATCCGAGCGATCATACCAGTTTAGAGCACAGATTGAGCGGCTCTCAGTAGCCACGGTAAAGCGAATTGGTATCGCCTTGATTTAAAAAAAAAAAAAAGGAAACGAGTAGATATTGCACTGGTTATGGAGAATCTAAAGCGTTTCTTCCTCTTCTTTTATTCTCTTTGTATTTTTTCTTCTTTGATTCGTTCATTCATTCCGAACCTTGCTGTATCAGGATTCAGGGGGAGAAAAAAGGATGAAGGAAAAAAAAGTATTTTTTTTTAGGGAGTCCAGACCGAGCGTCATATGTTGGGTGCTGAGAACTTCTCTAACAGGTTTTCTTTGGATCCTTTTCCGCATTTTTTGAAGTACCAGCCGCGGGAGGCGTCTATTAATCGACAACCCTTTCGTTTCGCTCGATTTCCTTCCTGACGGTCGCTCGATGGACGATACGTTGGGCAATGCGAATTCCTTTGAAATATCGCTGAAGCCACGATGAAAAAGCATTGTGGTTGCTGATGAGACAAATTTACTAGGATCAGCAAGAAAGGAATATTGTTCCTACCACTTCCTATAGCTAGTCTCTTCCTATACGCAACCTCATGCCTTAGTAGTTGCTGGGCATTGTAGTTCGTCAATGCAAATTCCTGCCTCCCATAAACGGACTGATGATGAACTGGAAAAACAGTGCAGGTAAAATTAAAAAGGAGGAGACGAAGGTAAATGAAGAGGCTGAAAAAGAATCCTTGAATTTCGCAAAGCTATTATGCACAGGGGCTGTTTTGGTCGATGTAGCCGCACTGCAGGAGGCTGTCCCGGAAGAGACGACGAGAAAGACGTAAAAGTGGATTATCCCGAGAAGACGTCGAGATGCCGTAACTATATACAAGAGCAAAAGATGCGCCAACGGCCAGGCCGCTCGTAAAATACATACCGACTGGCTCCTCCGGAAAGGACAGTTCGTTCCACCATAATAAGAATTAATCGAAGCCGCATCCTTTGTGCGTTAACGATCCCGTGATTTTTTTTTCTTGCATACACCATAAGCAAGGAAGCAAGAACATCCGCCATTCAGGAAGCCGAGTCCAGTCTTCAAGATGACCCGGACAAAAACCATCAAAGAATTACCGGTATCGAATGTCTCGGTAGTGCGGTGGCCCACTGTGAATAAAAAGGAGCCTCAAAAAAAGCTGCAGCCCCTACACTCTTTTTTTTATATATATTTTTTTCATACTTACGCAGCCCCTTATATATTTCCTTAGGCTCTGTTCTCGCGAGGATAGCAAGTAGGATAGCGTGCATCCCAGTCGTCAAGCATAAACATTATATTCCGGCTCAAAAGATTTTCTGCCATCAATTTACTAATGATCGTCAGCAGAATCATGGCGTCCACTAGGCAGACTATCGACCAGAAGTTGAGGTTTCCAGAGGTCGAGTCGTCTTTCAGCCCGAGGATACGTCCAGCCACGACTCTATTTATAGAACCGGTCGCACAAGTGGAAGATCGCTGCTTTCCTCGCATGGCAATCACGAATCGATGAGAGATCTCTTATGAGATAAATACAGAATCCATGAAGACGACCAGTATTCCCTCCCACTCATCCCCGGTTCACCCACGCTACCAAAAAAAATCCTGTCTGTACCATTACGAAAAATCTCATTCGTCGAAAGAGATTCAGATCTCCGTTCAATGGCTGACAGGAAACTGTGAACAACGAACGCACTAACCTCACTTCCGTAAAATAGAATCCCACACTTCACAGCTGTTTGATACAATTCGCTGTCAACTGGACGCCTATGCAAATATAAATATCTGAATGGCATTATCATATTTGTTCCCGGCAAGCTTTTTTGTAATCCCTAGAGGGACAGTCGATACATAAAATATCCTCAAGACGTCAAGACTGCATTGGCTGCACCAATTGTGCAATCACAATGGCTACCGTGACAAATACCCAGCGAGTGGCGTATTATTGGCTTAATGCAGGGTGCGCCTGCGTCGCGGCGGGGTAGGTGGGCAGTGAACACCACGTGCTGTCAATCCCAGTATCGCCCTAAACGTCCAGTAGCTTTTTGAGTCCTTGTGTGTGTAATTTTTATTGCTTTATGTTTTTGTTGGATCGTGCTCGGCTTGATTATGTCTCGTAAGTCTGTCGCGTCATCTGATTCGTCCGATTCGATGAGAGTGTCCGTGCAAGAAACTTTAGTAAGTTTACCAGATTCGTACAAGCAATCGGGTTATGTGAAACCGGAGAAGAAGAAACGCACGTCGGAACGATTTGGCGAATGCAACTTGTCACATGGATGGATACGCTGCACGTCTCGAGTCTCGCATGGACGAGATTATTTTTACAATACATTGACTGGTGCCAAGAGCTGGATATATCCTGTGTCGCAGAAAGTTAGTTTGTCGGATTACAACCATTTTATGGTGAGTCCGTTTTGTGATTGTCATTTTTCTTTAGATTTTCTTTACCGGCGTTCAAAGTCTTGCGAGTTCTTTCTTGGCGGGGTGATGAAATCCTACTGTTCCTAATGCTAAGTAGCAGCTGAATCATATCTAATCATAATTTCTGACGTTGACATATAATATTTCAATGCTCAAACGCAGCCAGTATACACACAGAGCGTCGAAGCGTAGTGTGTCGTATATGTGTATCAGCCTTGAGTCGTTACAATGTCTCCTCAGGGTTTCTCCGGTCGGCGTAGAAAATGTAAACAAAGGCGCGTACGATTCCTCTCCTGGGTGTTTTGTCTTTTGCGTATTTCCATTTGTCAAGCGATCCTACATCGTCCATGACTTTTTCAAGATACAAATGATTTTTTTTAAATTTGTATTAGGGAAATACTTGTAACGGCTAGTATATGGATTCGGTTAAATGAATGACGAAACAAAATTATTTGTCTAGGTTTTTCTCTGTTGCTGCTGTACGTAAGAAGTTGTTTTTACGATAAAAAATCAATTGTGTATGTAAAAGTAATATCTGAATTTTTATTTTTATTTCAAGGTTCCTGGGCTGACGCTAACAACGCCATCTCAAGAAGACGAATCGTCTCCTGCTTTATCTAGTAGCAAGCAGCCTGTTTCAAAAAATTTTATTGAAATATTGAGATTCTTGAATGGACTTTATCCGACGCAATTAAACACCGATGAAAATCCGTACGATTACGATGAAGATCAGTTGAACAGTGCACTGTGCAGTTCTATTGTGAGTACTTGCCTTGGTACGTGTGAAACGTCATTTAACGATGAAAGCGTTGAGAGCTTAATTAACACAATACGCACTGCTGCCAATGTCAATGGAAATCGTGATAGTAAACCTGAACGTGCAGAAAATGATGGTAAAGACAGAGATGAGGTTTCAGTCTGTGATAAAGAAGTCGATAGAGAAGAAAATAAAGAATGGAAAGAAAATGAAGAAATTTATTTAAAAACTAGCATTCCATTGGAACAAACTGACGAATCCTCTTCGTCAAGCAGTTCAAGTGTAAGTACGACAAGCAGTAGTAACACTAGCAGTAGCAACACTAGCAGCACCACAAGGACCAACACTACCATAAGCTACAGCATCAGCACAACAGATGTTTCCGCGCTACCTGCATCTCCTGTATGTTCTGCACCTCCACTTCCTCCCGTATATTCGGGTCCTTCGAACGAGTTTGGTTTGCCTCGACTAAAAACAATTACACTTGACGACTTACAAAAGAATCCAGTAAAATCAAAATTGGTACAGAAACGAAGATACATAAGGAAGACGTCGCAGCTTCTAAAGCCAAAACCACTGAGAGAATGTCGAGGACCGGAAGCAATAATTCGGGAGGTCGGCGACGTAAGGACAATCAGTTATAACCACTTTGTACCACCGCCATCACGTTCACCGAACGCTGTCAAGAGATCGAATCTAAGTGACAGCAGCTACAGTACCTTCTCTGATGCAAAGAGATTTGCTCAGACACAGATTAAGGGTGTTTTTGGAAAAGGATTTGGTGAAAACTTTCCCATCGTCATCAAGAGTCCTCAGCTGAGTGACAGCAGCAGTTCCTCTAGTGAATCTGGTCGCGATTAAAAACACGAACCATCCTCTTACCATCCTTTATAGAAAATCGACTCATTTTGTAATAATTTGATGATATATTAATTTTTTAATCCTCTTAATTTACCTATCTATCCTTAATTCCAATTTTACTTTCACTTCATAACGATTTCTCGGTTCCTCGTTACTCAGTCGTTCCAAGGGATCGGTAGGGAGTTCAGTAAGGTAGGAGTGCCAGCCTTCCCAGGGATTCCAACCTTGCAGACTCCGAGAGATACAGGTGCAACGGTGTGCCTTGCTCGCTACTCGCTATTCGCCATTGGCTTCCCCTTGAATATGCACTTTTTACTGTTTTTGCTATAGTAACGCATGAGCATGAACGTACTATAGACATATTCTTATTATCAGCTATAGTCTGTGGCTCCAGGCAGAATTGTGGTTCGAGGAAAGGTAAGATACTTGGTGCTGGTAAGACTCGTCCGACTCGACTGTCGATCCTCGTTCACTCCTCTTCCTTGGGTCTTTACTCTTCGCCATCCATCCTCCTCTTATCCGAGTCAAGAAGAGTTACAGGGTAACATCTCTACATATCCTCTGGCACCAACCGTCCAGCAGCAAATGCAGCCATGATCGTGAGACGTTTCTTATGGAAATTGGCCCCTTTGTTTCCTACAGGTACATAGCTCGTTTTCATTACAACTATTTGAATTCCATTTCGTGTTCGTCCTCGGGAACATTGTACGGTCTTCTCACTCACCTTGCAACAATTCACCGAGCATAGCCACGGGCTCGGCTAAGCCGATTCGCTGGTCATTTATTTTATTTTCTTTTGGTTTTTCTCGCTTGTCGTTACTTGAGAAAAATTATGGCCGGTTTCCAAGCGACCATATGGTAGACGTAACCTTCCTGGCGAATATACCGCATCGCGGTTTAAACGAATTGTATGTTAGAGAGAGACTGCTTTTAATTCTTACTTCTCTGCTGACTGTTTCCTTTGATAATCATGTAATTAGCGTTCCTCTTGATTCGTGAAGTTTTTACCTTTGTTGCTTTTAATCGTGCTCTTGCTGTTTTGCTAGAAAACTCAGCGTTATTACAGTTGGATATAATTTCGTGTAACGAAACAAAGACCTGCTGGGGATCCAGAGGAAGGGAAGCAGATAAGATCGCAGAGTTGGCCCTGAACTTTGTACCGTGAGAGGATTTTTTTTCCCGGTTAACCAGCCACGCAAGAATTCCTTCAGCTTCGTACAATATGACTACGTGCGAAGCTGGATATAAAAGTGTCTATATCCAAGCACCTTCGCTTTATTATTGCACATAAAACGGGGTTTGCAATTTCACTGAAAACAGACAACATGCGAATAGGTCTAATCAGAGTTGTCCCAACTGGTCGTTATTTCAGTTGTTCATTTGAAAAACTACTTATGTTGTAACTGATACAAACATGAATCTTGAATGCAAAATTAATTAGACGATTTTACTATGTGATTGCAGGTGTATACTTCAAGAATTTGACGCTCAAAGATAAAGGCAGCACCTACTGGATTATCTGGCGGTCGTGAGTTCGACTTTCTGCCACGGGCGGCGCATCGAGCTGCTTTTCGTTAGAGTCCCTCTAGTAAGAGTCCGGCCAACACCTGGAAGGAACGCCATATTAGGGGCTTGTTTGGCGCCACCATGACATTGCGCGCGGATTTTCAAACTATCAATCTTTACCATCAAGAGACTCGATCGAGTCTCGCGCCAAGTACAGGCAACCCGCCGTACAGGGCTTAACACTACCCACACTACACAATGCGAATCTCTCTTATATACGTATTCACACACACCATTCTATTCCGGAAAGAGCCCATAATATGGCGGAGCCAATCACTAACAAGCCCCACCGTTGGCCGGACTATTACTAGAGGGACTCTACTTTTCGTGGTACGTACAGAGATGATCAAAAACATGACGCTAAATCGTAGCGGCGAGTCTGGAAGTAGGATTTTGTGATCATCGACTCCGTCGACAATAAGAATCCGGTTGTAGCCGAGCTGCACGTGAATACGAACGCGTAGCTTGGCGGGCAGAGGTTCTCCGCTACTCACTTACCCTTTTGCTTTTACGTTACCTTACCCTTTTCGCGTTTAATTTACCTTACCCCCTTTTGCGTTTTTCCTGTCGCTCGACCCGACTTCCTGTCCTTCCTAAAGTTTTTCCTTCGTAGTTCTGTGCGCGACAGCCGCAGGACTCGGGGGTTTTTCTCAATAAAAAAAAAAAAAAAAAAAAAA